AGAGGGGTAGGTATACCGGTATACCACCAACCAGATAAATTGATCAATTGAGTATTTTCCATTGCAATGTTTGATTACAAAAGGGTAGATTTAACGTATTCACTGATGCTCTGAAGTCTGTGCTTTGTAGATTTTTCTGGCAAGAACTTCGCGACATTTTCTGCAGGTGAGCCGTTCACACCAAACCGTTGAAACCTTTCTCAAGTTCTCCAATGTGATCACTTCCTGACGGGGCATCCGAACTTTTCTAGATTCACATTTTGGTCCACTAATAGGAATGAGACAGTGGTCCGCCCTTTGTCGATTCTGCAACATGAACTTCAAGAGAATATATTATATAGTTTCTGAACACACTGTAGTGTTTCAGATCTTGATGACTCGCTTCTCAATGAACGTTGACCCTTTCCAACACTAGCTGCAATATTTGGACTTGATTGGAGTGCGCCTCTAGAAAACCATAGAAAACCTATGTGGGCATGGCCACGGTACAGTGACAGTGACTAGATTGCGTATATCAATAATGCTAACACATCCAACCTATTCCAACCAACCTTATGTGTGAATGTGATGCTATACGACCGCTTGAACCCGGTGAGGTCGAGCCATGCTTTGATCTTTTTGAGTGGCTTCAGATTTAGGCGCCAGTATCTGGTAAGGACCAGCAAAGTAGCTACTGGCTCTTCATAGCTGTCATAGCTGTCATAGCTGTCCAGCTGTGAATGTGTAGCCCGGGAACTGTTAAGTTCAGGGGATACGCCATCGATTTGCTCATGATGAGCTTGCGCATCGCGAAAACCTCATCACAGCCATGCCAACTGAATGGCTAAAATCGTGAAGATGCACATGAACCATCATGAACCAGGAACCAAGCCTCAGAATATCTGGGAATTCCAAAAGAGGCCAGATTTCACATATTTCACATTCACATCGGGCGACTTCCCGCTCAAGCCGTTGCCTCACGAAGCGCAAACACATGGCCGACATGCCATGAGAGATGGGAAAGATCTACTCCCAAAGTCACAATCAAGTCCATTTGGAAAGCTTGGGTGCATGAACATGTGAGTTTTTTCAACATAAAGTACTAAATCCAGTGATGTGTCATCATGTTTACGATTTTCAATTTGCCAGGGGTTTATCCCATTTCCAGACAACACCCATATGAATACAGAATACATATATGGATAATGAATGATAATTATGGATCAATACATATATATATATATAATATTGATATAATATGATATTATATTATATATATAATATGGATCAATAGATATAATATTATATAATATAGTAATGTGGAAACCATGTTCCTTAAAATGGGAAGCAACTGCCGCAAGTGCGATCTCTGGATGTGTGGTTTAGCTTACCTCGTCCATGGCCGAACGGCTTGTGAGCTTAATACGATGTTGCTTTTGAGGCCGGGAGTCAAGGCAGTCGCGGCTACACAGAGCATGGAACAAATTGGAACTGTCTATCTCTGCAGGTGATGATGTATTCACAGAGGAGCAGATGTCACAGCGATTTTGTGGAGGCACGTGCCTCATCGTGCCTCTACATTTGAGTTCCGTAGGCGAAACTAGTGTCTTCAGCCTGCGTTTGCTAATAGAGCGACTTTGCCAGACTCTGGGTATGCTGCAACCCATCGTTGCAGTCTCAGTTGTGCTATGAAATAATTATGAGCACAGGTTTGCCCCTTGTCACCCATGTTTCGAACGCTCAGGCGGACTTGTTTTTGAACGTTAGAGCCTGAGCAGAAGAAATGCTCAAAGACTCCCATTGGGGATTGTCAAGTCACGCTCATGTATCGAATATTAACAAGCACAACATCAGTGGGGCAGGTCCTTGTGTACCTAAGAGCCACTTCGTTGGAAGCCCAGCACACGAACATGTAACATATAGCCATGCTCTCGATACCATTCTCCCGACAAGCTGTTTTCCTAGGTTAAGCAAGCTGTTGTATTCTTCGCACGAGGTCGATGTGAAGTGTTCGTTACAAGTGCAGCAGCAATGTGTAGGGTCAGTGAGCAGTCAAAAACATTCAAAAACATATTTCTGCATTTGGGGCCAGTTGTTCTGACGCTCATATACTGTACCCTCAAAGGTTTAGAGCACCCAAAGTTTTCATCAGTTTTCCATAGTTTTCCTCGTCGTGCGGCTGTGGCGTGAATCTCAATGACAGGCCGAACTGTGGGTTCGCATGTATTTGCCCGTTGCCAGCTGAGTGGGGACGGCATTGCAATGTGAGTAATTATAGGTCTACAGGTTTGTCAAAAGAAGCCAACCTCAACTTTTGCGGTTGATTCTCATGTTCCCCATGAAAATTGCAATTGCGGATCATTTTGGCTACCAAATTTTCAGACAAACCCAACTATGATGGCCTTGCCAAGTGGTTCCCTCCGGTGCTTCGGTTTGAGGTGCTGCTGGACAAGCGTGGTTGGGGAGGAGACTCAGATCTCTGCGCCACTTGGCGAAAATGGGGATAGAACATGAGAATATCATAGGGATACAATTCGATGTACTGTAATGGGGATTTTTTTAATGGAATATCACCTATAGTACTATGGATATTTGATGATATTTGGGTGTGTCATCCATAATTTCTGGCCGGAAATTCGCCAGAAATTTGGCTGTGCCCTTTGTCGACAGACAATGATATCACCAAGGCTGACCCTTTGTCAACCCTCCATTTGCCTGGAGCTGAGACGAAGCATGACGTGCAGCTGCTCTGGGTATGAAAAACAGCCGTGGATGCCGCCGTGGAAAATGATAGCTATTTTTCATGATATGATGTATGTAGATCATCTACTTTCATAGGTAATTTGTATTAATTTGTCATGGAAATCCTCTGTAAATATGGAGGTTTTGATATTATTAATGGGACAACTATCTATGAATTGGTACTTTTTCCATGGCAAGCTGGGTGGCATCACCCTGAGGTCAGAGATGTGGGATGTTCTGGCAAATGTTTGCTCTCCCATAGGTGCCGAAAACCTATGAGGGCCACGTGGCCACGTGGACAGTGCTGAAATGTGCTGAATATCTTCAAGTATGATGAAGTATGGTACATTTGAGATCATTTGAGTACGCATCCACAACATATCGGTGTGGTACCTGAAAATTGGATAAAATTGGTGGTACTGGCAATTTTCATTGGGAACATGATAAAGACCCTTGGGATTTTAGGGGTCTTCCCAGAATTTTTACCCTCTAGCGCCGAGCACGGAGATTGAAAGGCTGGCACATTGACCCCGCGACTCCCCCCATATCATACGTATATCTAACATATCTATACAATTCTATACATATCTAACATATCTAACAAGTGAACATATCTAACATATCTGACATGTAAGAACATGTAAAACCATGATAAACCATGTAAGAACTATAAACTGTTGCAGATTTCTTATGGTCCTTTCGCATCCTTTCGTCTTTTTGTGGTTAGAACTACATGAAGGTGTCAACTACATGCTCCTTAGACACACCCTTTACGGTGCCCAGCTCAGCCGTAGGGTTCCGGTGCCGGCCATTTGGAGCTGGGATCCAAGCCCAGGAACCATGTTGGAACTCCAGCTCTCGCCGGGTCGACACCTCAAAGGTCCACAGGATTTTTTCAACACAGGAGTCTTTTTGGTCGAAACACTGGAGCTGGCCTTGGGATAGAGGATATAGAGGCACAATTTATGTAGAGTCGTAAGAGAGAGATTTAGGCAACGCTAGATAAAACGAATGATAAAACGAGTGAGAAATCACTTGGGCAGTTTCAATAGCCCCAGTTGGTTGATGATTGTAGGGGCTTATACTGTGCGTAATCCATTCTGAGAACCCCTATGAACCAACCACTACTGGTGGAACGGAAGTTCAAATAAGTTTTTGACACTGCTCAAATAAGATTGACAAAACTACTGGTATTCTCTGTGAAAAGTGAACATCATGCAACAATTTGCCCTAGGTCCAACGTTGGCTCATTTCAACTTCCGGGCATCCGATGAGGAGACAGGGCGGGAGATGATTTCTGATATCTCTAAGTTGATCGTCACAGGTGGAAAGTGGGTCTCATTATGTCTCATACCATTTCCTGGAAAGTGGCTGCCCAATGTCTCACAGTTCTTTTGTGTTTGTTCTACTGAGCTTCTAGATTTCGAGCTACTTAGTATGTATATAAATATGGGGGGGGGGGCAGGGCGGATAAACAATTCAAGGGAAACCACTTTTCAGGATGATTTTTATATGTTATCTTGAACCAGTTGCGGATTAGTCAAAACCCTACAATATGAATATGAACATTCATAAATCCCAGCTATTTACAATACCCTCTGGTAAACTAGCATAACTACGGAAAATCACCATTTTCAATGGGTAAAACCAGATAAATCCAGTATAAATGACCATTTTCAATAGCTATGTTAAATTACCAGAGGGTATATACACCACATATTTGGGGGTAGATGAACCTCCATCAATCACAGCTATGAATAGCTGTGAAGACCCGGGCATAAAACTAGGATCCTTTGACAATTTGACGCAGACCGAGTTTTGTGTGTCGGTCAATTCTGGGAAACGCCCTTAATCTAGTGGTTGATCCTCAGTTTTCCATTTTACCAACTGGCCATTTTGATGGGCTTAATTTGATTAATATTTCCACATAGGTTATCATATTTCCCCATCTATTTTTCAGTGAACATGGTGCCTATTTTCATTGGATCGATTTCAGGAAGATTTTTTCGGAGACCTCTATAGTTGATGGCCCAAATCAGGGCTTCCAATGATAGAAGCCTCCAGCGCCTTAACGTCAGGCAGCACCAATGTGGTGCCGTGGCAGTTTTGCGGTTAGAGGAGTTGCGGCCTCAGTATGCTGAAAGATTGGGTGAGCAGTGGGAGATATAGTGGGGATTGAGCATCTAAGTGAGAATCCGAGTGAGAATTATATAAGTGGGAATTTCATCTAGGCAATACATCTAGTTGAATCATGTTGAATCCCTCAATGGCCCCAATGATTTTCACCATTCGGGCATCGTCATGACCGCACTCCGCAGGCCTTGCAATGCAGAAAGTGGACAGATGAACTCCGTCAGCGGCCACGTCGCACACCCATTACGCAGGCGCCAGGGATCGCCAGGGCCAGGTCGGTCGAAGAACGGAGCCAACATGATGGAAAAACCATCAAGAACTGCGGGGCTTCGCTGCCAAAGAGGGTGATAGAATATGATGATAATATATATATAATATATATAATTATATATGTACGTATATAATCCAGTATATCATCCAGAAATCATGGACGATACTAATGATGATTTTTATAGATGTGGGATGATGTATTTTTGTGTGAGTTAAGTTAAAAAGGTGTCCTTTTATGTCATCAACGGAGAAGCCGCAAAAAGCTGGCCTGAGGACTCCATCGCCCAGCAAAGCTCCTATCGTGTTGAGCACTGTGGTGATAGGCTTGGGCCTTCAGATTTCCTGGGATCAGGAGAGGTCGACTATGATATGTTTGTTGACCTGTCACCGATAGTGCGCGTGTGTGAACAATGATAAAAATGTGTGTGTTTTTAAACATACCCGGCCTGGTAAACATACAAAAAACTATGGAACATCACCATTTTTCATGGGAAAACTCACTATAAATGGTCATTTTCAATAGCTATGTTAGTTTACCAGAGGGTAATCCGGTGCACCCTTTAGTCTTGCCCGGTCTTGCGTGGTATTAGTTGACGACAGGATCTACGGTCGAAGACCGACCGAGGTTTGTTCTTCGTCCAGCCTCCAAGTTATGGACAGAGGCGGAGAAGTTGCTGACAAAAGGAGAGAGGGAAGTCACAGATTTTCCATTCAATGAGCGAAAGTAGTATCACTTTTGAGCAGGTCACTTGAACCTGCCCTTTGTACTCTGCTACTGAATTTGCATTCACGCGGATTCACTCTGATTCCAAGTTTCCGGCAGAGTGGTAGGCCCGACCACAGCTTCAGCTCACCAAGCGAGGCTTTATTGTCTGGGAGCTGAGATGTCTCAAGTTATCTTCAGACTCCAAACGTTTGAATATGCCTGCCACAGGGTTGTGGGAGTTGTGTTCTGCATCAGAGTCCATATTGTAGTTATTTAAGCTGGAGCTATTGGATTCTGTGAAATTTGTGCACAAAAATACCAACGTATCATATGGAGGTTTCCAATCCATGAAGGTACCCTGAAATCATCCATATATGCATATGAATTATTTTCATAGGATCTTCCATAGAATCCATAGGATCTTCATGGGATTTTCACAGGATTTTCCATGGAACCAGCTAACAGGGGGTGTTTCCCCTTGTTGAAACATTCCAAGGCCATAGCAGCTGAAGGCGGTGGAATCATAGTCGAGGCCTGTTTTGTCAAAGCCGCTGAGTGTTTTTGCCCGACATTGTGCAGTAATTAGAGTAGCATGATTCATGTTAAAATATGTATATATATAATTATATACATATTACATTATAGTATATTATTATTATATTAATATGTTGTTTTATTACAGTATTTAATACTGTACCCTATATTATACATTAGACATTATATATTATTATATATTTCCAAATAAGTAACTCAGTATTTCTATACTTGTGGATTGACAGAGCGATATCATACATATGTAGTCAATGAATGTACTATGTAACAATTATAATATAATATATTATAAAAATATATATTATGAATTATGATATGTTATTTCCCATAGGATCCATGTATGCTATGGTAACATTTACCATTCATATACCCCAGTCATGTTAGCATTTTTCATGGATCCTATGGGTTTTTCTCCTGACTAGACATGGCTGGACACACCAGGATGGCCAACCAGCACGGCGTGTTGAGGCTGATGTCTGGAGAACTCAGGACACGGGGAATCTCTCCTATGTTAATAGGATGGGGATGGATGGAGTATCATGGGGATAATGAATAACTATGATTAACTATGGGGATATCATGGGGATATCTATGGAGATATCATGGGGATCTCATGGGGATATGAATATATATGAAACTTCTTGGAAATTTGTTGAACATTATCCCCATCATATTCAAAGATATCAATATGGGTATGGGTCAAGACCTATAGATACCATTTTTAATGGGATGAACATCCATTTACCAGCTATTGATGTTCACCAGGGGTACCAGGGTTTTGACACATCCCCATATCACTGATTCATGGGGATATCCACGGTGAACAAAAATCTGTGCCGAGGCACCAGAAGCACCGTGTTGAGGCCACCTCGACAGAATCTGCGACTCGTTCCCTTAGTAGTGATTGAAACGCCCGGTTTTGTGCACATGTTCGTAGTTTTTTTTAACAAATGTACAATCACGAAAGCCAGCGAGGGACAAAAATGAGGAAATTAGGTTGTAAAAAAGGTGGCCACAGGTAAACTTTTTTAGGGTTATGTACCAGGTGGCAATTGGGTGACGTTGGGGTATCGATTCCCCCCTGGTCCGCCCTCCCAGGTGGATCTGGGCAGATTGCAATGGAGGGGAAAATGATGAGAAAAACAATAGAAAAAATGAGGGAATATGACATAAAACAATTGGAAAAAGATGGGAAAGGAGGGGAAAATGATGAGAAAAAACAATGGAAAAAAGGAGGGACTTTGACATAAAACAATGGAAAAAAAATGGGAAAGCAATGGAAAATTTGAGTAGAACGCTTGGAAAATTGTTTAGAACGCGAGGAGAAACGGTGGAAAGAATAGGGAGAGGGTAAAATGATGCCAAGTAAAATTGAGGCTCCGATGTGGGACCATTATCGCGTAAAGCATGCGTGAAACAAGGGAAAAGCAATGGAAAAATTGCAGTTTCGATGTGTGACCACTATGGAGTAGAAGCACAGAAAAAAACATGGAAGAAACGAGCAAAACCGTTTATACGGTGCAACTGTAGGGATTGTGGAAGGTGCATTTGGGTAAGCGTTAGACACACTGAAGAAATCGAGTAACACCATGGCAAAACACTGTGAAAAGTGATGAAATGGAAAGATAAATTGATAGCATAAAATATGGGAAAAACAATGAACAAATGAATGGGAAAGCAATGGAAAATTGGAGTGGAACGTTTGGAAAATTGATTACAACGCGAGGAAAATTGGTGGAAACAATGAGGAGCGGGTAAAATGATGCCAGGTCACGTAAAGCACGCGTGAACATTGGAAAAGCAATGGAAAAATGGCAGTTTTGATGTGTGACCACTATGGAGTAGACGCGCGGAAAGAAAACCATGGAAGAAAGACGATTGAGTAAAACTGGAGGAAAAACTGTGAAAAAAACACTGGGGAGACTGGAATGAAGGGGAAAATGGCGTCGAGTAAAACTATGGAAAAGCAATGAAAAAAAACTATGGCGTCGACGTGGATCGATGGGAAAGCAATGGAAAAATTGAGAGACTGGACTATGATGAAGAAGTGGAGAAAAACAATGGAAAAAACATTGGAAAAATTGCGGCTCTGATGTGGGACCAAAATGATGCCAAGTAAAATAAGAGTAAAATGATGGAAATTGATGGGATGGAAACACAATGGAAAAATTGAGGCTCCGATGTGGGACCATTATATGTGCAAGAAGAGTTTCTGGGTGAAGAGTCAAGAGTTTCTGGGTGAAAAGTCTGTGCAAGAAGAGTATCTGGGTGAAGAGTCTCTGGGTGAAAAGATGTGAAAAGTATATTGGTGAAAAGTATGTGCAAGAAAAGTTTCTGGGTGAAGAGTCTCTGGGTGGAAAGTATATGGGTGAAAAGTATGTGCAAGAAGAGTTTCTGGGTGAAGAGTCTCTGGGTGGAAAGTATATGAGTGAAAAGCATGTGCAAGAAGAGTTTCTGGGTGAAGAGTCTCTGGGTGAAAAGTATGTGCGAGAGGAGTTTCTGGGTGAAGAGTCTCTGGGTGAAAAGTATCTGGGTGAAAAGTATGTGCAAGAAGAGTTTCTGGGTGAAGAGTCTCTGGGTGAAAAGTATATGGGTGAAAAGTATGTGCAAGAAGAGTTTCTGGGTGAAGAGTCTCTGGGTGAAAAATATATGGGTGAAATGTCTGTGCAAGAAGAGTTTCTGGGTGAAGAGTCTCTGGGTGAAAAGTATATGGGTGAAAAGTATGTGCAAGAAGAGTTTCTGGGTGAAGAGTTTCTGGGTAAAAAGTATCTGGGCGAAAAGTATGTGCAAGAAGAGTTTCTGGGTGAAGAGTCTCTGGGTGAAAAGTCTGTGCAAGGAGAGTTTCTGGGTGAAAAATTCTCTGGGTGAAAAGTATATGGGTGAAATGTATGTGCAAGAAGAGTTTCTGGGTGAAGAGTCTCTGGGTGAAAAGTATATGGGTGAAAAGTATGTGCAAGAAGGGTTTCTGGGTGAAGAAGAGTCTCTGGGTGAAAGTATATGGGTGAAAAGTATGTGCACGAAGAGTTTCTGGGTGAAAAGTATATGGGTGAAATGTATGTGCAAGAAGAGTTTCTGGGTGCAGAGTCTCTGGGTGAAAAGTATATGGGTGAAAAGTATGTGCAAGAAGAGTTTCTGGGTGAAGAGTCTCTGGGTGGAAAGTATATGGGTGAAAAGTATGTGCAAGAAGAGTTTCTGGGTGAAGAGTCTCTGGGTAAAAAGTATATGGGTGAAAAGTATGTGCAAGAAGAGTTTCTGGGTGAAGAGTCTCTGGGTGAAAAGTCTGTGCAAGAAGAGTTCTCTGGGTGAAAAGTATATGGGTGAAAAGTATGTGCAAGAAGAGTTTCTGGTATGTGCAAGAAGAGTCTCTGGGTGAAAAGTATATGGGTGAAAAGTATGTGCAAGAAGAGGGTGAAGAGTCTCTGGGTGAAAAGTATATGAAAAGCATGTGCAAGAAGAGTTTCTGGGTGAAAAGTATGGTGGAAAAGTATGTGCAAGAAGAGTTTCTGGGTGAAGAGTCTCTGGGTGAAAGTATATGGGTGAAAAGTATGTGCAAGAAGAGTTTCTGGGTGAAGAGTCTCTGGGTGAAAAGTATATGGGTGAAAAGTATGTGCAAGAAGAGTTTCTGGGTGAAGAGTGTCTGGGTGAAAAGTCTGTGCAAGAAGAGTTTCTGGGTGAAGAATCTCTGGGTGAAAAGTATATGGGTGACATGTATGTGCAAGAAGAGTTTCTGGGTGAAGAGTCTCTGGGTGAAAAATATGTGCAAGAAGAGTTTCTGGGTGAAGAGTCTCTGGGTAAAAAGTATATGGGTGAAAAGTATGTGCAAGAAGAGTTTCTGGGTGAAGAGTCTCTGGGTGAAAAGTATGTGCACGAAGAGTTTCTGGGTGAAGAATCTCTGGGTGAAAAGTATATGGGTGAAATGTATGTGCAAGAAGAGTTTCTGGGTGAAGAGTCTCTGGGTGAAAAGTATCTCGGTGAAAAGTCTGTGCAAGAAAAGTTTCTGGGTGAAGAATTTCTGGGTGAAAAGTATATGGGTGAAATGTATTGAAGAGTCTCTGGGTGAAAAGTATGATGGAAAATAGGGGTAGATGGGATGCTGGCTTTCTTTCCCCCCTTCTCAGGTATACATAATATACAGATATGTATACAATGTAGACTTGGGAAACCAAACTGGGAAGATTTGGGAAGATGCGATTTGGGAAAGTCATAATGATAGCAATGATAGCTGGTACTATTGTCAAGAAAATAGGGATCTTCTCGGACAGAAATTGTGCGCAAGACAGCGGCAGCGGCGCAGCAAAGTTTTGTAAAACAGCTGCACTGCTGGGCTCCATCTTCGACTTGCAGCTGTTCCATGACCCTTGGGATCCCTTGGGTAATCAAACAATACCCCCTGGTAAACTAACATAGCTTTTGAAAATGTCAATTTATAGTGAGTTTTCCAATTAAAAATGGTGATTTTCCATAGTTATGTTAGTTTGCCAGAGGGTATCAAACATGGTAATTGGAAATTCGCATGTGAAAATGGAGGTTCTTTTTTGTGAAAATCATCTATGAGGTTGGCCATTTTATGCATCGCCATATATAGTTGATTTTTTGGAGGCCTAACAGCTGCAGGTGATGGATGTTGCCGATTTATCTCAGAACTCTGGAGTTTCCAAGCTTGCCTTTATCGACAAGTTCGGAGACCTTCAGGGCCATGTATCTTTCAGTAGAAGATCACCATGGCATCGAATTTCCAGTTCCGGTGCTTCGTGATTTTCTGGAGTCAAAAAGGTGTGTGCCAATAAACTGATAACAATACAGTAGTCTGTAGCAATCAAACCTGGCAATGGAAACCCTTAATTTAAATCATCAATTTATATATGCTTTTCCCATGAGGGCCTCCATTTAGTGCGGGGATTTTTCCCAGCCATGTTTGATTACCAGAGAGTGACAGAGATTCCGTGGAAAATAGGGGAGAGCCCCGAGCCCATCAAGCGACATTTTTTATTGAGAATCCGAGGATCAATCAGTTGGTTTAATGGGACACATTGCAGATAATCGGAGGGTTTAATTGTAATTAGGGGGGATAATCAAGGTCTCTTTTAAAGTCTTTTATGCGTATGCCACATTGTTCATACATTTTCTTATTTTCAGACACGCCGAAAACACCCGAAAAGATAAACCGAGATGTTATGTTATTTGGATAGATTCTGATAACGTATAAGTTATAACTTATATAACTTATAACTTGTTATAATTATCATAGATTATAACATCATAGATATGTTCATTGCGACGCTTTAAATGATTCATTTATCCCGGTATGCTGCCAGTGCCTCGTTGCACTTTGGGCCCAACCAGCCGTTTTCCGCTATGGATGGCTCGCCTCACAGAGGCCGGGACTGTCCCTTAAAATTCCATGGGATACCCCCATTTTTTTTCGCCGTTTTCATGGACAAAAGATGCGATAAACCAAGGTTTGAAGCATCCATTGAATATTGGTAATCCAATGGATAAGGATATTCAATCCCATTTATATTCGATGGCTCCAACTTTCAAATTTCCCTTTCAGATCCAGTGTTTTGAACATTTTCACCCAATTGATCTCGAGGCGTAGTCACGTAGTCCAGGCTTGCATGGCTGGAATCTCAGCACCCATATGTCCGTTTTATGCCCATTTTATGCCTGCTTATCAATTCCAAAATGATCAAATTGAACTGCCACATGTGTAAATCACGTAGATCATATTAGAACAGAATCATCAGAATCCCACCTCTCGGTGCCAAATCTACTACCATTGAGAGGTGTGGGAACAAAACTGAGTGCCATCAGCCCTTTCCCAGATTCTCTGAGGGCAAAATTGGAGCGAAGGCACCAGAAGGTTGCGCTTCTGCTGATGGGGAAGCCTTTGGTATCTTTGGTTGCTCAGTTGGAGTTTGTGCAAAAACGTGGCTGCAACGTTTCACTTCAAGGGAAGGACATGGACATTTTTTTGATTCAGAACCAACTTCCACGGCCGGTTCAGAGGCCGGTTCATCGCCACGCTTAATTCCTGTGCAGCTTAATGGTCCACAACAGAACGTGGTTTGGAGTTACTAAACTTACTAAACCAAGCTTACTACTGTTGATGGAAGAAATCCTGCACCACCTTGGATGGTTAAAACCTTATAAATAATGGAACAAAGTACCTATCAACTGGTGCAGGATTTCTTCCATCCACAGTAGTAAAAAAAAAGTAAACAGGTAAGTTTTTTGCCCATCTGATTTTTTTCCAAAGCCATGGAGCTGGACCCGCTGGTTGATGATGTGGAAGCCCTGGAAGCCCCGAGACTTGCTGAAGGATCAAGCCAGTACGGCTATTACCCTCTGGTTTTATTTAATACCCATAGGATCCATGTATGCCATATACTGTATGGTAACATTTACCATCAATATACCCCAAATGTTAGCATATATACCATACATGGATCCTATGGGATATGTATCTGGGCAAATTATAACGACCTCACTGTTCTCCCGAACCCTGGAATCATGGTTAACAATGTTAACAAGAGGAATCATCCCAAAATGGCCGCACTATTCAGGTTAGTGAATTATTACAATTTGCCCAGATGTATGGAATCCATAAATGGTGGATACCCCCAAATGGATGGTTTATGAGGGAAAATCCCAACAACAAATGGATGATAACTGGGGGTACCCCTATTTTAGGACACCCCCATATATGACTTAAGCATATTTTGATAAGTGAATCATGTGTAAGGGGTCATTTTCCATAGCTACGTTAAATAACCAGAGGGTCGCCTACTTTAAGGATACGTTCAGGGTGCAATACTTTTCAAGGATAGAAAACATAAGATGCAAGTGTGATGCTTGTATCATATCATATTCTTATCACATGGTATTACATCAAAAATTACATTAGCCCCAAAATTGAATGTACACCTTTATAACTTATAACTTTATCTCTAAACAATGGCGAACAACGTATCAATATCAATGAATGTATCAATATATGGAGTTTACTCTAAGAATTCAATTTTTATTCTGTTCAATACAAAGACAGACTGATCCCAGCATGGCATCTTGGATCAGTCAATTTTGCTCCAGTCATATCAGATGCAGGTTTTGAACTCCGAAAATTAAAGACTTCAAAACCTACATCTGATATAAAACCATATAAAACCACTATTGTCGCGTCCAGGGTACCAGGTTGGATGGATCGACCAAGGAGATCCACTTCGCGGACCCAAGGCTCATGGAGATTTGGGACCACCACGAAGGTGGTCAGCGTGGTCAGCGTGCTGCTTGGGAGCGTCATTTGGCATGGTTTAACCCACCATGTGTGGATCATGTTGGAAAACCATAGGATACTATGAATACTATGGTGGGTTTTCCAAATCTATTTATAAAAGTTTACCTTAGGGTTTTTGTGACTAAAAACATGACTTTATGGTGATCCCTGATCTGAGCCTCCCTGGAATGGAGCGGGATGGTTTATTAAGTTTGCCCTTGTACTGAGCTGCTGGATTGAAGGCTAGCGAAAAATCAAAGAACCAAGAGGACTTGTTGAAAGAAATGAGGTGGGTCTATATTTTTGCTTTTGGGACGATAGAATGCTGTTGATTCGCACATCACATTGAAGGTTTTCATGCGTCCATTGCACTTCTTTGACTAAAAAAAAGGATTTCGGAAGGCAGCCCCTTTCCTGCATGTACAATCATTATCAATCATTTACACAGATATGCCATAAAAAAAATATTAAAACATGTATAAACAGATTTTAAATGCTTCAAGCCGTCCAAGCTGCAAGAGCATGAGGTCTTGGTTCTCTTATTCTACATTTGCGGCCAAAGACTTCACCTTACAGCCGTTCGCTTTGCCGGGCTTCGCCGCGATTATTCACCAAGCCAAATCTGGGTGTCACCACATGTCACCCGGACGCTGGTGGGAAGTGCTCCCAAAGGGGGAGTTGTGGTGACCGTCAACAATATCGCCCATGCTCACGCCACTCGTGCTGCAGCTTTCGAGGCGAAAATAGCAACATTAGATAGGCATCAGCTCAGAATTCTATACCCCCAAAATTGGATTTTTCTAGCAGTGATGTCAACGGTACAAAACCTGACCAAACAAGTACAAGTTCCACTGGCACCCAATTTTCGAGCAATGCCCACTGAGGAATCCACTCTGAAACAATTTCAAAACTTGACGCGCTGGCCGCCAGCGAAGCTTCTGAATGCAGGCATGCTACTGTACAATGATAAAGGCATTCAAACGCATTCTGGGATGTAGATGAATAGCCAATTATTCTTCGTCTTCAGCATAGACAATGCAGATTGTATGCAAACGGAAACCCACACATTTGTAGAGTCTCAGTCGTAGTTGACAGGCAAAGATTGCTGGCAGCCCTGTGGAAATGTTTCTGGCGATTGCTCCTGGTGCGGTCTCGGAAATGCATGCTGTCGCTTCAATGCGAAAAACGATCCCGATGAATGCACAGGTCACGGGGAGTTGATTTCGGGTTGCGATTGCACGGGGTTTCTGATGGATCTCCCCATGAAATTTTGCAGAAAAATATGATACTTTGAATGACAGACCAATGTCACTGAAATGTAGTTTGTTTAGTGCAGTACTTGTGTGTCCCATTACATATATATATATATACTATACATATATGACATACATTGTATATGTTTAGTATACAAATATATACATGTGTATATCCTCCATGACCATTCCATTGCATCACCATTGATTGTAAAATTGTTATCAAACACGCATATCTATGGTCACCTCGCACTGCAGGTGTCACCTTTACAGTGAAGGACCGTCACACCTGCGTCAGCCCTGTGGCGTACCATGCGTTGAAACACGCAAAGCAAGTGCCTTTGCCGAACATTTGAAGCAGCGGTAGCATTCGTTTTTTTATTAAATATTATTGTGGAACAGCCAAATATTCAATAATCAACATTCATAAACCATCCTAAAATCACCATTTTTACGGGTGGTATAATCCCCAAATGGTAGGCTTATTTTTGGATTGCCCACATTATATGACATTTTAATGGTATTCCAATTATGTTCTACTTTGTTATACTTTGTTCTTGTGACAGAACGTCTCCTAGTCGATTCAGCTGGGTTGAGCGACTAGGATCATCTTTACCTTAGTCACCACTGACTTTCATATAGCCGAGTCTCTTTGCACCTGCATGTTGCCCATGAGATCTGAAGATGCATTTCAATCATTTCAGCACATCTGAAATTTTGCTTCTGCCATTTTTTTGATTGAAATTTAAGCTTCAAAAGGCTGGGCGGATTCTCTTTACATCCACCTTGCACCCCCTCAGGACTGCCTTGGGCCGTGCCAAAAATCTGGCTACTGTGAGTGGTGCGGCACAGGCAGGGCTGATGCTGAATGATGCTGATCACATCCTGCAGTGAATCACGAGGTATCATATGGTATCATTTACCATCTGGTTATTCAACATAGCCATGGAACATGGTCCATTTATAGATGGTTTACCTATCAAAAATGGTGATTTTCCATGGCTATATTAAAAAACCAGAGGGTAAGTCAATTCCAAGGGAATGGCTCGCCGGCGCATGACATGGCCCAAAATGATCCCACTGGGATGTCGAGATATGTCGAGGACACTCGTGCTGCATGGAGAGTGCTACCTCGATCGAAGCTCCTGAATGTCGTGGTGCTTTCGGATTCCACAGCCACAACAGGTACGAATGCGCCTTTTGGCTCAATGCCTCATTGGGCTCGGCCATGAAAATTAATTCAACATCTCCAAACGAAATCATGATGTAGGGGATGAAAACACATATTTTGGGACCACACAATGGGTGTGTGTGTTGATATTATTGGGACATATTGGGACCCAAAGGTGGAAACTTGAGACCAATTTTTCAAGGGTTAAAGATAATTGAAAGCTGTGAAGAACGCAATTTTCTGGCGCTCAGTTAAACACATTTTGGCCATTGAGGTTGCCACTTTGGGATCCTGTGAGTTCCTGGAGGTGGCTGATGGACAAGCATGCAAGAAGCCAAATAAGCCGCAAACATTGGCCTTCTACATGTACAAAGCAACTCGTCTCAGACGCCGGATGACGCCGGCTATATTTGAGTCGCCACTCAAATTACTGTAATGATGACATTCACAATGCCCAGGGTTAAACTGGGGGGTCCAGTTTTCCAGGCAGCTGGCCCTGATTATCCGAAGATCTTCAACCAGACGGGAAGTTTGGGTGCCCGGCCTAGTTTGGACGAAAGCATCACGAGAGCTTTCAGCATATCAGCAGACTTCAGCTATACTTCAGCTCCAATGTTTCATATCTTGCATATCTTGAGCCTCTTAGCATTTTTCTTGGCAATCTGTCATCATTGCCAAGGTTCACTGGGTGGCGTGATGTGGTTTGGGCCTTGAATATTTGCAAGTGAAAACAGTTCTTGATGAACTGCACTTCTTTGACAAACTGTTTGCTTGTATCCGGATGCTTGAGGTATTTGCACAATCATGTCATCACTCAATGTCCACGACGATATGGTATTGACCGACGCACCCTCAGTTGGTAGTCTGAGAAGAGATCTCTCGAAACAAACGGTTCCAAGGCCAACAACTACAAGACCAAGGCATGTTGACCAAAATAAACACGTTGCCACAATTCAACATGTTTTTTTTACATGTGAAGCATTCTATAAAGAAACGTGATTAATGCTTCACATGTTTCAACATGTTTCAACCATTCCTATTCGGACTCAACGAGTCGTCTCCGAATCGTTTGTTTTGTTGCCTGGCGACCTCGAGGAATCCGCAGATACTTTGTTACGGTGAAGTCCACCGACGCGCTCTATGCGGCCACGGCCAAGATGTTTGACCGAACCTTGGCTGATGGGTAATATTGGTTAATAATGGTTAATATTGGGATGATAAATGGTTAATAATGGTGTAATATTATCCCAATAGTGGTTAATATCAAATAGTCGATGGGTCGATGGGTGGCTCGATGGCTGGCAGAGCTGATTCTTGTGATGGAAATCTGGATGAAATGACAGCAATGGCCCGAAAAAGAGCGCCAAGGCTATTCAGATTTTGACAATGTTTCTTGGCAGAGATGTTGCGGAAGAAAAGTTGGAACTTCACAGACTTTCACAGTTTTGTGGATGTTGTATGATTGTTGGTGAATGGTAAGGGTTTAATGCATACGATTCTTATCCATTCTAAAACAACGATCAGAAGAAAACCAACAAACACTGACAAAACAACTCTGCCATCGAACTTGAATCATTAAACATCATTAAACCATGTTGCATGCCATTCTGTATCCATTGTGCATCCATGGATTGCCATTCTGCTTTTTGCCGAGGGCGAAGCACAAGAGTATTGGAGTAGAAGTCACTGGACCAAGCCGCTTGGAACATTTGGAACTGGGATGATGAACAAAAAAACGGAATGAACATCCAGGGAGGTTTCCTGAAACAGGGGTACCCTCTATAAACCATCCATTTTGATAGGATTTTCCCACAACAAAACCATCCATGGATGATGGGTTTTCCCACCATTTGTGGAAACCCTAAAATATTAATGAACAACCATATTTATTTTGGGATGATAATTTGGGACATATCCAATGATTGGGGGCTGACATATCCAGATTTAATTTGGGATGATAATTTTATCAGCTCCAATCATTGGATCTTTCAACTGGATGGGCTGAGGATCAACCCAGGACTGGTTTTTCCCCTGGTTTTTGCATGGGGAAAAGTCACCAGCAATTTGATGATTTCAGGAGGAGATAAAATGGGGATATAAATGGAATATATGATCAATCTAGGTAAATTATAACGACCTCACTGCGACCTCACTGGAATCATGATTAATCAGGGGAATCATTCCATAAAATGGGGTTATTTCAGGTTAGTGAAATATTATAATTTACATTAGTTTACCCAGAATATATCATCAATGATGATAGAAAAATACCTATTAGTAGTTGGTGCTTTGACAATGGGGGTGATCATCAATGATGATCTGGTTTCATAGACATGGGATGATCATCCCAACTGGTAGGGGATTCTCAAGGGTACACTCTGGTACTCTAAAGGGTGGCTGGCTGGAAAACACTCCCTTGAAAAAGGGAGGTTTAAACGCAAAGATCATCTATAACTGGTAGATTTTTCGGCCAATGAGTTTCCACACTCTGTGAGGGACTGTTCATTTTCATGGACACTGAAGGTATGGCTACAACCCCGGTTGTCTTCACGTTGATCGCGAGAAGAGCAGAGTATGACTCTCGGTCTGCTCTGAACACTGTGATGAACTGATGCGGTCAGATGCGGTCAGTGAATGTTGACTGCCTGTCAGGCAGCCTACCACGATGCAGTGTGGTACTCGTTGCCGGGCAGATGCCCCTCAAGGGACCTGTACAGCACGACGGCAAAGTGCTTAAGAGACGAGCCAGGTGGCAACTGTGATGCCCCCAATGGATACTTGGTGATCAAAGTCACACGTCGCGATTACCCTCCGGTAAACTGAGAGTTAGCTACAGCTGGCCCATCAGTTCGATGATTTAGCTATTAAACATGTTACCCTCTGGTAAACTAACATAGCTATTGAAAATGTCCATTTATAGTGGATCTACCCATTGAAAATGGTGGATCTTTCCATAGTTATGTAAACGTTTACCAGAGGGTAGTTTAGCAGATGGTCTCAAAGTCTCATTGCTATCATGGCAGCGAGCTGCCATAGATGTTCCACCCGGTCCCACCTGGTTGATGAACAGAGGCTTCCCCCCATCATCCATGAACCAATCGGTGTCGGTAGATCGTCAGGTAATCTGGTTGGTGGTTTCAAACATTTTTTTATTTTCCATTTCATATATCCCATAGGATCCATGTATGCCATATATGGTAACATTTACCATCAATATACCCCAAATGTTAGCATATACCATACATAGTTACATAGATCCTATCGGATATGGGATCATCCTTCCCATTGACGAGTCGTCCATCATATTTTTCAAGATGGTGGGCAGTCACCAGCCAGTAATGGATCACGCCATCGCAGGAACCAGTACTTGTACTTGGCATGCTCAGTTTGCTGGGGAGGTGTGACCGGTGCGTCGGTGCGTGGCAAATCGAAATCCTTGGTGACGACAAGTGGTATTTTGATAGTGCATGGTTATAGTAACCCCCCAACAAGATAGAAACGACATTGATATTTTTGGATGTGTTCTATCCTTTTGGCGCTTTTGGTGGGTTGCTATAAAGATCTATAAACCATATTTGGTTTGCTGCTGATCCCCAATGATGTGGCTTCTGGATGGCTTGAAACCACCAGTTGCTACAGGTCTTCCTTGACGAGCTTGCGGGGATTACGGACCATGTTGCTTGCAGGCAGATGGAAGATCATGGAAGATCAGTGAGCAGTTTTTATAGAAAAAGCAGTTGGTTGCTGATTATAAGGCCTTCAAGAAGTTCAAGATGCATATATCATATATCATTCATGTCCCCATTAACCGCATTGAAGAATTAAAGGTGGAGATGACAGAGTATTGCAAAAGGTGCTTGAATTGCAAAGGCAAGTCTTGACATGTCTTGACTGAATTCTGAGGCAACTTTCTGCACAAATGGAAACTACGAGTTCGATCTTGAGACCGATGCTGGCATTGGCAATGACTTTTGGAATGACAAGCTGAGCGCAGCGGATTGCGACAATCGAATGAAGCGGGTCTACCAATTGTCACTTGTCGGCCATCAGCGCAACAACATCATCATGATCATGATCATCATCACCATGCCACCATGGTCATCATCACCACGATGATCATCACCATAATCACCATCACCATTATCATCATCGCCACCATCTCCACCATCGCCATCACTATCACCATTACGTCGACCACCGCCACCGCCGCCACTAGCACCACCATCATCATCATCATCATCATCATCATCATCATCATCATCATCATCATCGTCATCATCATCGGCATCATCACCGGCATCATCACCGGCATCATCATCGGCATCATCATCGGCATCATCATCGGCATCATCATCGGCATCATCATCGGCATCATCATCGACATCATCATCGGCATCATCATCATCATCATCATCATCATCATCATCATCATCATCCTCATCCTCATCCTCATCATCCTCATCATCCTCATCCTCCTTAACATCATCATCATCATCATCATCATCATCATCATCGTTATCGTCATCGTCATCGTCATCGTCATCCTCATCCTCATCCTCATCATCATCATCATCATCATCATCATCATCATCATCATCATCATCGTCATCGTCATCGCCATCCTCATCCTCATCATCATCCTTATCGTCATCGTCGTCATCATCATCATCATCATCATCATCATCGTCATCGTCATCGTCATCGTCATCGTCATCCTCATCCTCATCCTCATCCTCATCATCCTCATCCTCATCATCATCATCATCATCATCATCATCATCATCGGCATTATCCACTCTTGATGTCTTGAAAGGATTCCTGCGTACCAGATTTAATTGTGCAATGCCCTTTTTGCAATTATTTCTTAGCATCAGCCATTGTACAGGCTGGTTTTTATATGGAGGTTCCCATCATGGATCACAACAAGTGGTATGATCAAGCCCTACAACGTAGTTTGATCTATAATGGATCATAATAATCTTAGTAAATTATACACTGATTCAATATACAATAACAAGTACTTTCGATACTGCCCAATTCTGCTGTGACGACAAGACAGCCACGGGGCTCAGGTTCGAGGAAAAATATCCATCAATGCCACACGCCCTCAATCGGCATCCATGTGATGCAGATGTGTCGTAGGACCTCCGAAACAAGGACCATTGCCGTGGGAAATTGCAAGTGAATCCAAAACTTGGGATTTGAAACTTGAGTTTTGGTAGCAAGTGGAATTGCCAAGGTACATAAACAAACATAAACAAGATTCGACAATCATTAAACACATCACATTACATAACATGATTGAGTAATATAATTAAGTACAGTCAATCTTCGACGGGCCAAAAAAACCGGACACCTTGGACTTAAAGTTTGGATCATTTGCACATGGTTTAGTCACGTAAATCCCCGGAGGCAACATCTGTCCCTTTTTTGTAGTCACTGTTTGTCCTTTATTCTTGACTTTTTGCCTGTGATTCAAAATACTCACATTGACACGGCATGTCCAATTTTCCATGGCAGCAAACCTGCCAGCGATTGTTTTGACGGTCGATCATGCTTCGGCGCTACTCCAGCAAGCAAAGTCTTGATTGGAGAAGACTCAGAGGATAGACAATCTGGCGGAAACTTTGTGCTTGCTGCCTTTTCAACAGGTTCAATCAACTGCCTGTGTAGTTGTAGTTTCTGATTCACTGGAGTGTTTTGATGGCACACAGTTTCACAGCGCTAATTGGAGGACAAAGTTCCACCCAAGAGCCCCAAGAGCAGGTTCCCCGAACGAGAAATGGGCTTTGTGGAGTGTTGACTGCCTTTTAGAATTCTTTTAGCAAAAGAGAAAGGGTCCTGCCGCTCAACGTGCCAGTCACGTTGCTGTCCGTCAACGCGAATGCTCCGGGACGGTCCTTCCCCAATTGGAAGGCCGGTGTGTGGTCTCCTGCGTCCACCGGCACCCGTTCGTTCCCCATTTGTGCCGCTGGCTGCCATCAGGTTGCCTTTAAGAATGCTCGAAGGCTCAGTGATGTCAGCAGCTCAATCATGTTGTGTTTCTCCCAAAATCTACAGAGATGGCATCAGCCAGGTCCTTCGCTGTTGGGCCAATGCGTACTTGGGCATTGACGTCGCCGAAGAGGTGCCGAGTCGCCGTGCGCAGCGGCGAAGTGCGGTAAGCGCAGCGCCGCCAGGTGCCAGGTGGGGTCAAAGCACTGGCGGCGGACAAAGAGTTGAGCCTGGACACCAAAGTTGGAAGTGCGGACCTCGACTGCGACGTCCTCCAAACATCCGAAAAAACATCCTGCGATCTGCAAAGCTGTCATGATTGGCCCAGCATATCATCAGCAATTCTAGGAATTCTGTTTGCATTTGTTACATGCTTTTAATGTTTCCAGTGCAACGTTGCAGCCGTACGGCTACGGCAGTGAGGCCTCCGTGAGACTTTGCGAGTACGCCAAGGCGCCAGAGATGGTGCCCAGAAGCTCCACCAATTATCGGCATGTCGGCTACCTTGAGTCCTGTAGCAACAAAACTGACTGTTTGGAACAGACTCTAAGTATGTCACTTATGATCTTATACTTATATATATATATTATATTTAAATATATTTAATTATAATAATTATGAGATTAGAGTCAACTGATCTAATGTCTTCAAATCTTGGGTGTGGCAGCTATAGGAATGATTTTGGACTTGTGCCACTTGTACCCTTGCCCTGCTGTTCATTTCCATTCACAGTTCAGGGCCTCAGCTGTCGCGAGGTGCTTACAGCTTGGAAATTGTATGGCCAGCTGAAGCCTTGCCAATGACCCAGGAGTTCTGTGCTGATTTTGCTTCATTTTTGTTAAACGATGTCACCTGGACACAGCTGCTTGTAGTATGTTTTTTTCAACCACAGCGCGTGCCGGCTGCATTGAAAGGTTTCAAGGATATTTTTTAAAAGATATGTGATACATTGTGATATGTTCAATCACGATCAATTTTGGTGAGATTTGCTGAGCACATTTGTTAAATCACGAGTACGCCCCTCACAGCATTCCGACGGAATGTTTGAGTTGTCCATTGCCATTCATAATCTATTCAAACTAATCTATTGCAGTTTAGAATTCATAATCTATTCTTTAATCTATTCATACTTATTCATAATCTATCAAGAATCAGGTCTTATCAACCATTATCCATTTCAGAAATGACCAAACATCCTTTTGCGAAACACGCTGAACAAAAAAAGTTGCCGCTCCGCTCGGCGCGATGGGAAACGTGGCCATTTGCTGTGCGGAAGAGAAAGTGAATGAAGATGTCGATCATGAGACAATGATCGCAGAGGTTGCCATGCGCAACCAGGCATCAAAAAAGGCAAGGCATGACATCCATGACATCCATGGCTTGCAACATTGGTACATACATGTACATACCAATGTGTGCTGAGTCGCATCCATTTAACCATCAATTGGAGAATTGATTGATTGGTCAATAGAAATATCAATTACAGTTGGCAGTTGGTCAAGTTCGTTGGATATGATTAACATGATATTTTCACATCATTAGCCTCTGGTAAACATAGAAAAAACCATGGAACATCAATGAAAATCACCATTTTGTAGCTGGGTAAATCCACTTTTTCTATGGCAGTTTTCAATAGCAAACTGTTAGTTTACCAGAGGGTAACATGATTCCCCGAAGAATGGGCTGCCGGGATGTGTATCAATCCATCAAGATGTTTATGTTTTTTTTTGCGATATGTGGATGTGAAAAGCCTACGATGTAAACGAAGATCGTTGTAGAAAATCCACCAGTTATAGATGATTTAAATGATTTACCAGGAATTTACCACTCATCATTTATGATTTCAATTGATTTAATGATTTACCGATTAAATATGATTAAATGATGAGTTTCCATAGCAAACTCTTAGTTTACTGGAAGGTAAGACCCGAAAATATGGGGCCGTTGTTTCGGTATTGATTCCAGCGGCGCATGAGCTGAGGTGAAGACCCTGGTTTCATCAGCACTCCTTTGGTCATCACATTTCTACTTCCAGATGGATTTTCAACGCAACTTGGAATCCTAATATAAATATAAATATATAAATATAATATAATAGAATTAGAAATGAAAAATCGTACGACATGTACACATCTATATTATTGATTATATTCATATACATATATGTATATATATATATATGGGAGCCGTCCGTAAAAGCAGGTCACAAATTTATGAATTGATGCGTTTACTTTGCTTTGCGCGATTGCTAAAACCTGCATCGCGATAGGCTGAGCGATTGGTTGGCGATTGGTTATACGGCTACCACCCTACTACTACTACTACTACTACTCGTACTACTTTTACTGCTAGTACTGCTAGTACTACTACTACTACTACGACTACTACGACTACTACGACTACTACGACTACTACGACTACTACTACTACTACTACTACTACTACTACTAGTACGAGTACGACTACGACTACTACTACTACTACTTCTACTACTACTACTACTACTACTTTCGAGACCAGAACCATGCCAATAATTGACATGGCCGCGCGGATGTTTTCAGGTCAGAAGGACATTCAAGCTAGCTCCAATTGAAAACAGGTCAGAAACAGGTCAGAAACAGGTCAAAAACACCAAAAAGGCAGCACTTGCCTAGCATCCCATCCATCCATCCATCCACCCATCCATCCACCTCAGCTCTTATCATTGCTACTTCTACTATTACTATTACTACTATTACTACTATTACTACTATTACTACTATTACTACTTCTACTCCTCCTCCTCCTCCTCCTACTACTACTACTACTACTACTAGTAGCACTGGTACTAGTATTTGGGGCACTAGTAATGATATTACTTTGACGATCACTAAAATTGTTCCTAGTTTGCCTGCCCGTGCTGATTTTTTTGAAGTTGAAGAAGACTCCGGGAAAGGTCAGAAACAGGTCAGAAACAAGTCAGAAACACCAAAAAGGCAGCACTTGCCTAGCATCCATCCATCCATCCATCCGTCCATCCATCCATCCATCCATCCACCTCAGCTCTTATCATTGCTACTTCTACTATTACTATTACTTCTATTACTACTATTACTACTATTACTACTATTACTACTATTACTACTATTACTACTATTACTACTATTACTACTATTACTACTATTACTACTATTACTACTTCTACTACTACTACTACTACTACTACTAGTACGAGTACGAGTACGAGTACGACTACTACTACTACTACTTCTACTACTACTACTACTACTTCTACTACTACTACGACGACGACGACGACTACTACTACTACTACTACGACTACGACTACTACTACTACTACGACGACGACGACGACGACGACTACTACTACTACTACTACTACGACTACGACTACGACTACGACTACGACTACGACTACTACTACTACTACTACTACTACTACTACTACTACTACTTTCGAGACCAGAACCATGCCAATAATTGACATGGCCGCGCGGATTCCGCGCGCGCGGAATCCGCGCGCGCGGAATCCGCGCAGATGTTTTCAGGTCAGAAGGACATTCAAGCTAGCTCCAATTGAAAACAGGTCAGAAACAGGTCAGAAACACCAAAAAGGCAGCACTTGCCTAGCATCCCATCCATCCATCCATCCATCCATCCATCCGCTACTACTACTACTACTCCTACTACTACTCCTACTCCTACTCCTACTTCTACTCCAACTCCTACTCCTACTCCTACTACTGGTATTACTGTGAGTTTTCCGGACCGTTTCCGGACCGCGCAATTTTCTTTTCTTCTCAAATATGAAAACGAATGCGTTCATGGGCGGATCCTTCTACTAGTGTTGCTACTACTCTCAGTATTACCACTAGCGCCGCTACCACTGCAACGCCGCTACCACTACTACACCGAGGAATTTTTGCCTTTGCTTTTCTCCACTTGACAGAAGTTCCACGGAAGGGTCAGAAATAGTCAGAAACCAGTCAGAAACCGGCCAAACGCAACCTCTCTCTCTCTCCCTTGCCTATTCCCTCACCCTCCTACCAGAACTCCTACGCCTACTCCTATTCCAATTTCCACTACCACTACTGCTAGTGCTACTGCTAGTGCACTGTGAGTTTTCCGGACCGTTTCCGGACCGCACA